ATTCAGTCCTTTGTCTGGTGCATAGTGAATTCTAGGTGAGTTCTAAATGACTTACGCCGCTATTGAGAATCCAGAAATTATGATTATGAATTAGGTGTCACATTTTGTATTTCTCAGTTTTTTCGACTAAGCATTTATTACTACTTATTAAGTACTAAGTAGTTAAGAATATAAAAACGATTGTGACTCCAGATATTTAAAAAAAAAGTAAAAATTTAAATGCAAAATATAAGTAATTTTCGCTGTACTAAATGAAACATTATTATGAAAAGGTAAAAAGAAATATGATGTTGATTACAAATATCAACTTTACTGTTCATGAAAATTCCCTGCTGACTAACTGGTTTCAACATAGAACCTTGCACAGATGTGCAGCATTTCTACATGCCGCACTCCTTAGACGTAGTATACAAAGCAAGAGAAGAAAATAAGAAGAAATGTAAAATAGACACAGTGAACAAAGATATGAGGCAAAAAGAATAGTAATATCCGAGAACAATAGAGTTTTATTGGGTATTATAAGTCACAAGGAGTGGATGCATCTGCGACAGCCATTGCGAACGATTTTGAGTCATACTACCGATTGTTTGCAGTCACCATTGCTTCTTACCGTCCCGAAGATCCCAACCAGGAAGTCTACACCTTCCTAAGTGACTGGCTTAAACTAACTGTTGTGGATTTCATTGACTGATGAAGTTATGTTTTGGTTTGACTACCACTGGCTCTTTTCCAACCTGACCTATTCTATGTCAAGTTAACATTGCCCGTCGAGGAAGACCAGCGATGGCTAGGTATACGTAACACATGTCCTAACCATCTCGATCAATGTAACTTCCCAAACACCTCATCGATTGATTTCCCTTCCTTACCTACCTAACACTAGACACCTAACCTCAATATTGCTCACCCTATTATACAACTACAAACAGGAGATAGAAAGCAGGCATCTATGATTAAAGACAACTAGCTACCCAGAATTTTCATTTCTTCCACTTTCAATGACCACGACTCACTCACAGCTATAAAGGACGGAGCGGACTGATGAAGCAATGTTTTCGTTTGACCACCACTAACCCTCTCTTTTCCAAACTCATCCATCCTATGTCAGTCAGCTAACATTGCCCGTCGGTTGAGGAAGGCGATCGATGGCATTACACGGTGTTATGGTGGTTAGGTATCTTCATCACGTCTATTAAACAAGAGAGTTAAAATGTATTGCGCGTAATTTTTTTCAAGCCCTATATTCACTTCATTCACAACCCAATGGAATAATACTATAATATAGTACTGAGTGTTTTCGAGTTGTCTATCGAATGCTAACAATACAATAGTTATTTTTGATTGGACACTAGTCAGTAAACTAGTGTAATGGCGAGCCACCTCGTGGCATGGTGGCCATATTGCATACTTGACTGATAGAATTCAGTCTGCACCAAAGATAGGACTAGACACACGCACACATTACACTAGTTACTGACTAGTATCCAATCAAAAAACATCTAATACAGTCCTACAGGAAGTCAAATGCCAGCCTGAATACCTCAATGGTAACGTCTCTGACTGCATACTTACTTTACTTTACTTCGGCTATCTCCTACGGGAGGATGAGCCGGTTTCATGAACATCTCGAATCATCGCTGCCCAGGCATGGTGAGAGTCGTTTGTAAGAGAGTTCATGAAGTTTCATGGGAATTTGGTACGAGTGATGTCCCCAGAACCACTCGGCCTTTTGTTTGAGAGTGCAGCTCTAGCCTTTACACAACCAAGTGTGACCTACAAGGCAGTAGGAGTGGAGTAGGGAGTCCACTATCCATTGGCAGCCGGTGACCGGAGTTCGGTTCCTACGCCTTTTTGAATGGGGCCAGACATCCAGGACATCCAACAAGCCCTTGTCCATATGTCTGCCGGTGAGCTCCAGTGAGCTTCATACGCCAGTCGTTGGAGGTTTGGAATCAGGGTTTGGCCATCTCCCCTAGACTGTCATCCAATGGACAGTCAACCCGGTGAAGAGCGCCGGGCATCCGCTTTCGCCCTCCCACTTTGGTGAAAAACACCTCCGCTACGTGAAGGCAGTGAGTAGGACTTCCTCAGGAGAGGCTGTGTAAGACGCCCGGTCATATGGGAGCATTTCAAGAGGTGTGCGGAGGGGTGGCCAACCCGCAGCGCAAGGCACCCAGCCCCGACCATCCTGAGGCTGCATGTGGCACTAGGTGATTACGCGGGTTCAAATCTGACAAGGGACATGAGTTCCTTTGAGGTTGCAGATACGCTGCCTTGCTGACTGACTGGTGAGTGCCAACTAGCACAAAACCTAGGTGATGTCCAAGGCTTCCTGTGGCCAATTACCTCCAAGCATGTAATGCCAACAACAACTAGTTAGCATAGAGCAAGAACAACAGCTTGTGCAGAATACAAGAAAGTACCATCCTTTGTTTATTTCTTTGGGCTTCTCATCAACTGCTTGCTTATAGCCTAAAGAAATTATTCAGTTTATGTACAGAAACAATTTTAACATACATACATAGAGAGTTCATTTTTGAACAAAACAAAAAATCAATATATGCATACACAATGGGTAATAATAATCACTTTATCCCAAACAACAATAAGCATACACAATGGAATTTTCGACGTTATGTGATCAAACGAAAGAGAGAATGAAAACATTCAGTTACCAGGCAGGATAAGAAAGACTCATAACCACTTATTTCGGGATACAAAAATCGGGTTTCAGGCGCTTGATGGAGATTGCTTCAGCAAACTTGAGGGGAACTGAACTCCTTTACCTATTGATAATTTTGAAGAATCTTGTGACGTCCACCTTATGACCCGTGTGCCAAAGAGATGCCTGGCAATGGCACTGTTGAAAACCTTTGTTCCCCCCCCCCAATGGAAGCGTAGGCTTTTTGGTACATTTTCAGAAGATCGGAGGTGTGTGTGTGTGCCTTTCTTCTTTCTGTTCTCTCAATGTAACTGCTCTCGTAGATACACGTAAATTTGTAAACACAATTGGAGTTAACATGAGAAGGGTATCTGTCGACTTTTGATTGCAGCAAAGAGCATTTTGTCCTATAGTAATACTAATTATTTTAAATAACTTATAATGATTCAATCTGACACGCCGCTCAACATCTACAATTTCGAAACTTATAATGGTTAGTAATGTTTCAGTGGTAGAACATCGACCAACCACGCAAATGACCCGGGGTTCGAACCCCGGCCAACGCACTCCTTTACATCTATTTTAGTCGACAATAAGCGCGACAGAAAGGGAAAGTTGGGTGTGAAGCCAGCAACCATCTTACCTAGTAAAAAATAAACACCATTGCTACTGAAACTTCAAAGCTAGGTGCAAACTGACCTAGTCAAAGTACTCGACATGCAATCAGTCACTGCAAGTTACTATGTGCGACAGAACTATTACAAAACTCAAATGAACTGTCGTCAAGATTTGAATTATTTTACAATCGAATTAAATTAACAAAAAAACTATGTAATTGGCACAATCATCGTGTTTTCACTTTCCGTTGTCTGCAACAGAATGCATATCCTAAATCCGTAGCTTTCGAGTCACCTGACAACTCCAGTAGGTCAAATAAAACAGCTCAATCTTCAGAAAGAAGACAATGCAATAAGTTCGACAGGGTGCTTAAACTAAACTCTAATCCTAAACACCATAATTTTGAAAATACGTCTAATCATAAAATTCTAGATACTAACAGTTTGAACAGACATGATGGCGTGATGTTAGCTGATGCATAGGAAATCCTTATTAATAAATAAAAATGGATATGTATCACTAATTATTAATACTTGGTCAAAATTCTCGACTGTCCATATCTTCTTATGGAGACATTAAGCAATGTTTTACAACTGTTTACCCACACACACACACATACACACTCTGTTTAAAGTATTTAACAAAGGTAGACCAATATTTGTAAGTCCGAGGTCAAATTTTGATCACAGCTCATAAAATTTTGTTTATTATACTTGTTGATACTTTTTGAATGACTCATGATTGGACAAATTTTCAAAAACAAGAGATGTTCCTTTTTATATATAAACCTCTGTTATGTTAATTTCGATTAATTTCCCTGAAGAAGTTCGGACCAGATTGCCGAACGAAACGTTGGAATTACTCATTTCAATCTCGCTGAGACTTTACACATATAATTTTTTACAAATGTCTAAGATAAAGTACATTTAGAAATAATGATATGAGTGTTATCAGTAAAATACAATCAGATGGGAAATGAGACGAGTGTTTTTATAGTCAAAATAAGTAACTTGTCAGAATGTTATGATGTACGTGAATTGAAATAGAATTTCAAGATTATTTCTTATCCTCCTGTGATTTGACTGACTGGTGGGAATAATATCTTCCATATCTCTTGTATTGGCGTTGAGTCACTTCTATTGAGCATGTGTTGTGTTGGGTGTGTAGACTCGATGAACCAGAATTCAGTAATCAATCTCTCTTCCTCTCTCCACCTACCTTTATTACTTTTTAGAATTTTAACCCTCTCCCACCCTATTATGTATGTTGCAGTGCGATTGCTGAGCTTCTTTTTTTCTAAGTTACTTATCTTCGTGGGATCAATCATTCTAACCTTAGCAAAATTCTTATATTCTGACAATCTGACTACCCCCCGATCTACTAGTTTGACTGACCTATGTAGTTGACTTAACTCACAGTCATTGCAGGGTATTTTGTAAATTATATTATTTTGTCAAATTGGGCCAACCATCAGGGGCCTTTAACCTACAGAGCTTGTCCCTGAGCGGGTGAGTTTTTAGGTTAGAATGCCACCCTAATTCCTGCTTTATTGAGAATCCTACGCAGCGAGGGTTTCAGATGTCACCTTCTTATCATCGTAAAACTGTATATCCCATAGCTTCTCTCTTATTTATGTTATCACTACTGTATGACTTATTCGAAATAAAATATTATCCATAATAGCGCCAAAATTTTTTTTCAAAAAAAAAGAAACACTTACTAGATTCCAAGCATCCATATGTTCTTTGCGTAATTCACTTTCAGGATAACGTAGTGCAAATGTTAATTCCGTGAAAACTAATCCCTCTAAACGTGATCTTTCTTTAGCAAGTGGACCAAGATCTGATTTGAATTGAACTAAATCATGTTCAGTTACAGAGATCGGTTGACTGGATATCTGTATACCAGTAATGAATGTGTATGACTGTGTCCTATTATAATATTGGAAAAAAAGAAAGAAGGGAAACTTATCAACAAACAAACAAAAAGGTGAAGTCGACAGTTTGAAGCCTCGATTAATACTGCGATGGTGAGAGCTGTCTGCTAGACAACAATTTACGTCAATGTTTACGTCCCGATTTGGGGTCATGAGAAAAAAACAATAATAAAGCTTAACCTTGAGGAACGCAACAACCAATTACAGCAAAGTTAACGTGTGGAAATACGATTCGCAGATATATGACTTAACTTTCTGAGAAACGGACACAAAGAGATTACAGAATAACCTCCAGCAAGAGAACAACCAATCAGAAGACGCTGCTTCTCTGCTAACAATAATGCTAATAATAATGCACATAAACATCTATAAATATCTCCTATAGTTTGGTTTGTAAGGATTAGTTATGTTTTTACAAGTTGATCACGGATTGATATCAGTTAGAGAACCATTGAAAACCACCACTGGAGTGCTGGACTGCTGTTTCATCCTAGTTTGGGAATCATCAGCAGAACGCACCCACGGTTGATTTTCCCAATAAACTAGATGTTGCCTCGTCTTTGTTTTCCGTTGTTACAATACTATTATGTACTAATAGAAAAACAAAACAGCCCTTTTGAGTACGATTCATAATAAGGTCAAGATTAGATTGGCACTAAAAACCAACCAATTCACTTAGAGATGAACTCTGTTATTTTAAGAATTAGATAGATTTAATGAAGAACAAAAATAGTAATAATCTGCTAAATACCATACTGTGACTATGAGGTCAGTCAATTAAGCAGATGAAAATACAGTAGATGTGGGTAAGTTAGAGTTATCGGAACAAAGGAATTTAGCTAAGATATCTACAATGTTTGACCTTGCTAAGTTAAATAATCTAGAAAACTGCTCAGCTTTTGCTATATGCATCGGCTTGCATAATAGGATGAGACAGGGTAAAAATGCTAAAAAGTAATATAATTAGATAAATAGAGATTAAGCATCACCGATTTTCTGTACATGCTTGGTGTTGATTAGATGAACACTAAGAAGGAAGCAACAGCTCTTCCCCCCCCCCCCACCCCCACATATAAGGAAATTAATGGGTGGGGAAACAGCTACATAAAGCAAGTAAGGAAGTTGTGTGAATACACCAATAAGATTATTATTAGTGTTCCCTTGGGTTCCTAGTGGAACATACGGCTTCAACTACACGTCTCCACTTGCTTCGATCTTCTGCTGTACTTTCCACCTGCATCCATGTTAATCCATACTGTTTCAGTTCCTCATCACACGATCTCCTACTCGCCACTTCCCTTTCGGGTTCCACTCGAGCTATGGCCTGACGCGCGATGTCACCCAGCAGCCTTCTCAGCGAGTGAGTGTTCAATCCATCTCCACTTTCCCCTGCATATTTGTTGGGCGATCGGTTCTTGTTTTGTTTGTTCCCATAGTTTCTTGTTGGTGATTCTTTCTGGCCATCTGATCTTCAGTATAGAACGAAGACAGTTGTTGATAAAGGTCTGCAACAGGCTGTTGGAAATATTCTTTGTGACCCACCAAGTTTCTGATCCGTATAGAAGAACTGACTGACTTGACGTTTGTTTTGAAAATCCGAATTTTGTTGTTGATGGTGAGTTGAGTGACGAAGATTTCCAGATTGGTTTCAGGTTGATGAATGTGTTTCTCGCCTTCCCGATTCTCGATTTACATCCTCATCCGTTCCTCCTGTCTGTAGTTGAGACAATACTCCTTAGATAAGTGAATGAAGTCACCTCTTTCAAATCCCTCCCGTTGTTTGTGATTGGCGCTGGATGTTGCTGTTGTTGTTGTTGGTGGTGGTTGGTTATTTTCATAACCTCTGCCTTGTCTATGTTCACCTGGAGCCCTGTCTTTGCTGTTTCTTCGACCAGTTTGTCAGTTTTCGCTTGTAAGTCTTCGATTTTGTGTGACATCAAACATAAATCATTCGTGAAATTCAGGCCTTCTAGGTTCTTCATGTCGGTCCAGGATATCCCTGTCTTCTCGTTTCCCACTGTCTGACGCATAATCCATTCCACCACAATTAGGAATATCATTGGTGATAATAAGCACCCTTGTCTGACTCCTGTGTTTACTCCAAACGCTTCGCTGAGTTTTCCGTTGTGGATCACTTGACATGTGCCGTTGCCGATAAGATTATGAGCCCATAAACTGTACTTTAAACATTATCCAGTTACTAACAGTCTATCACTGTGTATGATATCAAATGGACTCATCTAAAGTGAAATTTATACCCAACTAAAGTGGCTGGCGGCCTGTTAAAAACCTGGACTACCAAAAAAACCCCATTAATATATATTGCACACAATTTCTCTTATTCAGCTTGATGAAATCTAGTATAGGCAGGCACTGGACCAGACAAAGGGTGTATCGATTATATCTTCACCTCCTAACAGATTCTCGAATATAGGCATGCCTAGTGACGTCCAACAATCGTCGTATTTCTTAACCTGAAAGTAACATTCGATTCCCTGCACCGAGAGGTACTACGGTGATAACGGACTGCGAAGGGAATGCCGAGGAAATACATTGCACTGATGAAGGTAGACCAATCGAATTCATACAGAGAGCCAGATGAGAAACTATGAAGGGTTGTCATCTGAAGTGAGGATAACCAGTGGTGTCCGTCAGGGATGCCCACCAATGTTCCCATTTCTTTTTAATTTCATCAAAGATAAACTAATGAACTTAACCCTAAGTGAATTCAGAGACTTAGAATATACAGATGATATAGTCTTCCCCTCTGGGTGAAGACGCTGACAAAATAGAGCAGAGTCTTGTGAACACCTTGAGCAGTAGGCGAACTACTGAGCAGTACACACGACAGTTTGTCGATAATCAGCTGGATATCACGTCTACGCCAGAGACAGCGTAAACTGGCATATACGAAACGAGCCTTCTGTATTCGTGATGAGAGATTTCGTCAGCGATCAATCAACCCGCTGGTGTTGGCTGATGCTGTGGTGAGAGCAAGCTGCTAGCCAATTGGTAGACATTGATCTACGCTGATTGGTGGAAATTAATCTGGGCTGATTCAACAACCGATCACAGCTGACCTAGACGTGGACAAATATGATTCGCAGACAAGTGGCTCGCATTTCCGAGAAATATCGAAAACGAGAAAGCAGAAGACTGCGTTTGTTTGCAAACAACCAATCAGAAGACCGCCTTCTTTCTGCGGGCAGAGCCTTATTAATGTACGTAAAATACATATAAATACCTGTTGGTTTTCGTAATAAAACTGATCTGTTGCCTGGCCCTTGTCTTCTGGTGTTACATTTGGTGTCGCTGCCTACCGACAAATGGAAAGCCTATGCCCTGCAGTTTTTGATGAAGACATATGGATCTTCGCGCAGGACTTCGAGGCTTCTTCGCAGTTGAGTAGCGTTCAAGATCTGTCAGCGATGAGGCTGCTACTTGGGACGCTGCTGGGAGGTCGGGAGAAAGCAGCATATGGAAGTGTGAGGCGAAATACCTACGAATGTGCGACAGGGTCAGGCAAACAGTTTCCAAAGTGGGAAGGACCATATATGGTCACGTTGAGATGGGGTTACGCAGACACAATCGCAATGGTAAACACCGCTAAACAAGTGGACATCCGCAAGCGCCGAGATTCCAGACAGCAAGATAACAGAGCAAAGCCCCAAGAACCGAGAAGACCGAGCCGAATTCAGTCCAAGCTATTTGACGGGGGGACGAGTGTGGTGAGAGCAAGCTGCCAGCCAATTGGTAGACATTGATCTACGCTGATTGGTGGAAATTAATCTGGGCTGATTCAACAACCGATCACAGCTGACCTAGACGTGGACAAATATGATTCGCAGACAAGTGGCTCGCATTTTCGAGAAATATCGAAAACGAGAAAGCAGAAGACTGCGTTTGTTTGCAAACAACCAATCAGAAGACCGCCTTCTTTCTGCGGGCAGAGCCTTATTAATGTACGTAAAATACATATAAATACCTGTTGGTTTTCGTAATAAAACTGATCTGTTGCCTGGCCCTTGTCTTCTGTTGTTACAATGCAACTTCCCTCCAAATATAAGTGAAGTGAAGTGGTCAACACGCTCCATCAACCACTTGACCACCTCCCCGCTATCTTTAAGCTAGGAGTGAGTCGATGTATTTCAGTCCTGTAGGAAGCATCATATTATATTTGATAGGAGCCAAACATTTGAAGAGTGCTCACTACTGAAGGTATTCAGAAGACTCTGCTCCATTTTGTCAGCGTCTTCAGCTAGGAGGGACGACTACATTATTTGTATATTCTAAGTCAGTGAGATTATTCCCTGCCAGTAACAAGTCAATCTTCGTTAAAGAGTTACACGGAGATCATGTGAAAAGAAGATTGAAGCTTGTGTGAATAGGCCTTCAAACCAGATGAAACTGATGTCACAAAACTGAGTCTAATGGAGATGTACCGCTGAAAGCAAGGAATGGATGATAATAATAATAATTTTTATTTCATTTTACACAACAAAACTAAATAAATAAATAAATGATTGCAATGCAATTTAAGTAAATAAAAAGCAAAAAAGTAAAAACTTACGATCCAGACGGAACTGTGAGATTATCGGGGAAAACTGGTTCGTAGACAACAACTAATAATACCTGAGTATTAGTATGAATATTTTCCACAGACGGTAATCGTACAATGCCACAGGCCACTTGATAAGTTACTTCTTCAGAAGCATGATTTTTTATTTCACTCTTTCTTTGAAGTCTATTGAAAAAAAGACGGATGAGAAGAAAGTAATGAGAGTATATGTAGCATAGTAGCAACAAGAAACTCTACCAAAAAAAACCAACCAAGAGTCGATCGCTCAACACTATATGTAGGAGAAAATGGAGATATGGATAGGGCACACATCACTGAGAAGACTGTTGTCGAATGACATTGCGCGCTAGGCCAACGCTCGAGTAGAATCCCAATGGGAAGTGACGAGTTGGTCGTCAGTGTGAGGGTGACATGGAGGAGATGAGAGATTATGGGCAATCGTGGACCCAACTGAAGAGGACATCAGAGAGTAGAACAAGGTGGAGATGTGTTGTTGAAGCCAGCCCTATGTTCGACTCAGAACCCAAGGGAATAATAATGTCTTAAGTAGTATATGAGTAGTATCCATTTGGAGAATTGAGATATACCAATAAATATTATTTTGTCGTAACTATGTTTATTAGCTGCCTCCCTCCCTCCTATGGTTAGCAAACAGTCAACTCTACGGAACATGCATGACAAGTGTCGAAATACTGAATTTCATCGGTTGCCTTTATTCAGGTTGTCTGATACAGTGTACAAAAGTCCTTTGATCGATAGGCGGATATCACGTCTACTAAGCCAGAGATGAGGTAAGTTGGCAAATCCAGCACAAGCCTTTTTGTATCCCTGCAGAGATTTCGTCAGCATTTTCAGCCCGTTGGGGCTGATACAGCTTCTTCCCAAATAAGTGAAGTGGTCAACACGCTCTACTACTTCGCTATATATCTTTCAACTGGGAGTTGGAACAGATCAGCCCTGCAGCATCAGCTTACATTTGGCAGGGGCGAATCGTAAGATTCGTACTCAAATCACTTAAGTTAGTGTTTATCTTTGCATATTCCTATATTTCCTTGCTGCGTATTTTATTGCCTTCCTTCCAAACTTCTTGCAATAATGGTATGGCCATATCTACCGCAGTCTCTGGGTTTGTTTTCAGTACTTCCGGTGGGAATACCATCTGCCTTCCAGGACTTCAATAGCTTGACTGTAATCAAGACTTCTACTTTTGTTGAGGGATTGGTGTCCACTGACAGGCAGTTCTGTGACTGCTGTTGGTAGTGGTATTTCTTGGCGAGTTCAAGGTTACGGTTGATCCAAGAGTCCCCTGAAGTGATCAGACCATTGCTTTGTTTGTCTCTCTTCCTTGGTAATTAGGTTCCTTTGACCATCTCTTCCCCGATAGATATCCGGTAATCTGATATTCTGTTTCGAGGTTTCTTTTACCTGTGAACTGCCTGTTCTACTTCAGTTGCCGGTCAGTGTGTCGTAGAATTGTCTTTTGTCTTTCCTAGCACTCTTCTCCACTTCACTCTTTATTCAGTGCAGTGTACATTGACCTCAGTTTCTTTTTCTGTTTTCCATCTTTGCATTGAGTCATCTTCTCTTTCACAATCCTCCTCTCCTCTTTCCTATTAGCTTCCAGGTATCCGTTGAGAGTCATTCCTTGTCTTGCCTCTTCTTCTTTCTTCCTAAAATGAGTGTACATGTTTGCTTGAACAAGACCTTCTAAGAGTTAGTTCCAATGTTCTTCCACGCAGGTTTCCTCAGTGATGCCAAGTAGTGTCTCCAACTTTGCTCTGATATATATATCTGCGGTGAAGGTATCCCTTGTAGTTTTGGCTTAAGAAATAGTTAGCTGTAATTCAATAGCGAATATTCTATAGTTTTCGCCTTTTTTTCACTTCTGAAAGTAGCATTTAAGAAGGAATGAACGCTGGCTTGACTCTACTTGATAGTCCAGTATTTCATTCAGTAATTCTCCAATCGTCTCTTTTTTCTTTTCTGTGACATATAGCTTGCTGAACATACTTTACTATATTTGCGTTTAAATTAAATAAATAAATAAATGAAATACCATATTTAAGCAGTGGTAAGGTCAAACTGATAAGCTGAATGATTTAACTCCTTTCAAATTTTGCCAGCAACAGTATTTTGCGGAGACAAGGAACAAAAGAAACGCGCATGGTGATGCTAATGTAGATCTGCTATTCATTCAACAGAAAACTCTACCACACAATCTTGACTATGCAGACTGATAACAGCTGGTGTTCGTGTCTTTATTTATCCTTCAAAATGAGCGAGTAGAGGTTAGGTTTAATCGAATTTTCATGGATGTAGATGATTGTGTGTCTGTGTGTGTGGCTGCTGATGGAGATATGACGAAATAAATTTCCAGTTGTATGCGCCGAAATTCATCAGACGTGTATATATCATGCTGGGACACTTCTGATAACTATACATCGTTAATCTGACTGGTCATCAGTCGTCTCGTTATCAACAACACTAACCAATCAAGGCCTAGGGTGCTACATAATAAAATATACACCAGCAATGAATAAGTAAATTTTGGAAGTAAAAGATAACTCATTGTAGGAAATTTTCTGTGTCGACGAAATCATTTCCAGTGGCTGTAGTACAATCGTATTCATATATACCAAAACGTATAGCAAGCAGTTTGTGAATAATTAATAGTGGGTGACACAATTAATACAGTAGTTAACTCAGTAATTTTCTTTCCGTTTGATATGACGGATAGCGATTTGTCGATACAGTCTTGACGATTCATTAGGATGATGCCAGCGGTGCCCTTATCTACACAGGTCGGCACCAAGTTTTTACTTTTTAAAACCTCACGTGATTGCCTTATGTACTCAGCTGAAACCAGTCGTTCGGTGTCTCGTTTAGCGTCAACATAGTGATGACCAAGTGCTCAACACTATTGACTTAAGTTGTTCGAGTGTTTTGTTCAACACTGGAAGAGGATTTACTTGTCAGTCCTGCAAACTGGACGTTTTATATCCAGATCGTTCGTATTTGTCTAAATGTCGCAGGGTTTTCGACCTACCAGCAAGACTAGCACCTGTATAGGAGTTAACGATATACTGGAGTAATTGAGAACGTATTTTTCTGTTGTGACAGGGAAACACAAATAGGTTTCAGTTGCTTTAAGGCCACATAAGGTGGGAGCAAAAGATTTGCATATTCACGTCTTCTTCTTGAAATTGAATCAGTGTAGTCCATAAAAATTTCAAATTTTTTTATTCCAAACAGTTTTACAAGTTCATTAGTCAAATGAAGACGGGATATGGCAAAAGATGTTAAAGCAAATGCACCCTGAAAACCTGGTGGCAACTAGTAGCATTTAACCAAAAACATTTTGCTATGAAATACAAGCTACTCACAAGTGTTATAAGTAGTCAAAAAGGAAATAGGTGCAGAAACTCACTTTAAAAGCCGAAGCGATGTAAGTTCTGTCCAATTCTTTAGGTTACCCTTTTCAATTTTTACAGTATTATCCCAGTCCTATGACATAAATAAACAAATTATTATGTTTATAAGGAAACTATTTAGGTAACATAATTTATTGTTACAACGAATGTGATAGAGAAATCGTGAAACAAAATGGTCATTTACAAGTTATTATAGAGTGGAAAATATACCACAGCTTGCTTTGAATATCAAAAATATTCAGATAACTACATGAAATCTACTTGGTGTCATCAATAGTGACCACGAAAGCAAGTGACACAGTATTTACTCCTAGTACAGTAGTTGGACGTCCCTGACGTCGACTAGTAGTGCTTGTTAGTTAGCCACAAGTTTAAGTGGTTGAGTTGACATCAGTTAGAGAACCAATGGAAAACCACAAGGGGAGTACTGTCAGACAGCTGTTTCGTCAGCCTAGTTTGGGACTGACTGACTCTTCAGAAGTACGCACCCACCACAGCCGGTTCGAACCCACGTCCTTCTGGTTACAAGACCATTAATCCACTGGCCAGTCCATGAATTCTAACTTCTGTCAATTCAATTCTAAGTGACCTAGACATTAAACAGCCATTTCGCTTGTTTGATTCCACTTCTCTCAAGTAGCTTGTCAAAATTCAGCTTGTTGAGCTGAGTCTATCCAGGCATAAAGCTGATTTACCTTATCCCATATGAGAGAAATAGCAGTTCAATCGTAAGGTCCCTCCAAATGTGTGGGCTAGCAAGTACCACTACTTCTAGTTGACGTGATTGGATCCCGACTACTCACACTAATCCCCCATTAGTATATACCACAATCCAATAAGCTCACACTCCACCATACAGATTTGAATAGCTTCAAGTGACTTTGAGGTTCCGATATATGCAGGCCTAATTCCCTGCATGTCTGTTTGTACTTCTCTCACAGCACTTATTGATTTATGACCCTTAATTCTCTCTCACCCTACTTCTAACCTTTGAAATCCTATTGGTTGTTCACTGTCTTAATTCATTAATGACATTAGTGCTTCTCAAGGTCATTTTAAACATGCATATATAAGCAAGCTCTGTCAATCTCTTTTCGACTGTTGTTTTGGGACAGTAAAAGCTCTCTTTGTAGCGTCCGCTCTTTCCCTTCTATCTTTGTGGCCTGGTGGTGTTATTGTTGATGTGCGATTAGGACACTTCAGCCAGCGCACTTAGTATTCGCTCAAAGTCTGCTAGGCGGTAGTTCCGGTCGAAACAGGTTCTTAAATATTTTAGATACTTATTCTAACAATTTTATTATTACAAAACTTATACTGAATGTCAAAAGGGATTGGAAAATAAAGGAATGGAAATCAGTTGAGAAATAAATAATTACATCTTCCTCAGGGTGCAGAGATGGAATTTTCATTGTTGCATCATCGTCGAACAATGTTTCTTCATAAGGCGTAAAAGATACTCACATTTTCAGTTAGTATCTTGCTCAAAAAGAAGAGTGACCTATTCATCGAACGACACTCTTTGGATTTGGATATGATGTTCAACTGACTCAAAAACTTCGGTGGGACATTAGACGGATCAATACATAGAAAGCCAGAGTGGAACAGACGACTGAAAAGTTTTTACCGTTGGGTGCTCAAAAATTCTTTTCGGCGAATTCATTCACATAGCTGTACAATCGCCGAAAAGTCTCTTCGCTGAACGTCTTTTCTTTTTCATTTGACTCAATGGGGATTTTCAAGCTACTCAAACGTTGCAAGGATCCAGTGACGATGAAGGAGCTGGATGGAAAATGATCGATACCTTCGAAATCTATAAGAGATACGTCGACGACACTTTCATTATCGTTAACAACGAAGAAAATCTAGATGACATCTTGAAGTCGTTGAACAACTGCCACCCCGTGATTCAGTTCACGCTGGAGAAAGAGTCCAACTCCAAAATATCCTTTCTTGACGTCTAACTCACAAGACGAGAACAGGATGGAACACTGAAAAAGTCTATCCACAGAAAGTCGACGTGGAACGGACAGCTTACTAAATTTCACAGTTGGGTACCCCTATACACCAAACGAAACCTGATCCGTTCACTCAGCCACAGAGTTCGCAGAATTCGCACCCCGGACACCACAGAAGATGAACTGGACAATCTCAAGAGAATCCTCGTCGAGAATTGTTATCCAGAAAGATTTATTGCAAAATCTATGAATCATAGACCAGAAAAGCCGCCCATGCTTAGCGTCCCGAAAAAACTACTCTACATGAACCTTCAATTCAATGGAGACATATCTGAGGAAACACTAAACAATCGACTCGCGCTCACTTAAGAAGACCTTCTTCGCAGCTGAACTACGACTAATCTTCTCCACAAAACCTATGATTCATGTGAACGTGAAGGATAAGCTACCACTGCTGGCTTCATCAGTGTGTATTTATCAATTCAGCTGCTCGTGTGGAGCCAGGTATGTCGACCGTACCCAGCACTCGCTTTCTAAACGTATCATCGAACACTTACCAACATGGTTTTACAAAGGAGAAAATCGATGCCCCCGCAGTTTCATCTTAGGACATCTGATAGAATCCGGACACCAAGCTACACCTCAAACAAACTTCAAAGTCGTCTACAGAGTAAGAAGTAGTCTTCCTAAAGGTGTACAAATCAGACTTCTTCAAACTGCAGAAGCAATGGCGATTCACTTGCTAAGTCCTGAACTCTGCATACAGAAGAAGTTCGTTCAATCACTACTCTTGCAATGGACGAAATCTATCTTATTACCCGACAAGTAAATTCTACCTAATCTTTTTTTCTGTCCCTTCACTAGTATTATTTTGTCTTCTCAATTGTAATATTTTGCATTCCAACTTCTTGTTCTCTATCCCCACCCGATTTAATTTCTGCACCTCACTACCACTGTTACTGACTTGACCAACGCTCAATTTCTAGTCATTTATGTTACGTCATCCAATTTATTTGCTCAATTTTAGTCCTAATTTAAATGGCATTATTCTCTACCCCACCTCTACTTAGTCTCTACCTGTAATTACCTCTGTTGCTATCCTGACCTAAGTTGAAACATTTTAGTCAATTATATTGCGTCATCTAACTTACTAACTAACTCAATCTTACTTTAGTTGCTGTCTAATTAACCTTGTTTCTATATTAGATCATTCTTGTATCACCTGACTAATTATCTAAACTTGACAAACCTCGTGTACAAACACAACTGACAAGTTTTTACGGTTGGGTGCTCATAAATTGTTTAAGGAACCTGATTATTATCTTTGAAGAATCGCCAGACTTGAGACGATACACAAATAAATAAATAAATAAATAAATAAATAAATAAATAAATAAATAAATAAATAAATAAATAAATAAATAAATAAATAAATAAATAAAAGCTGTACTTTACTTAGCCACTAATTACTATTGGCATTTACGAAACAGTTTTTCGCAAGCGTTGTGAACTCCACTTATTGTGATATAAAATAATCATATCTACTTCCTAACGCAAACTCCGGTGGCATTTGGATCGAATTTACGAGAATAGTTAATTGGAAGTCGACACTGTTCACAACGTCAGTGTGTCACAACTCAACAAATTATACTCCTGGTCATAAGTGACTGACTGCTGGATGGAGTTACTAGAATTGTAGTGAGAAATGCTGACTGGTGGAATCCACCAAGTCGAGTATGAAGACAGAAGCTCGTCGACAGCACTGGTTATATATTGGCGGAATTTGGAATTTATGGGCCAACGGATCGCGCCCCAGCAGTTGAATGGTTAACCGGTACACCTCATAACTTTAAGCTCCTTGGTTTAAACACCTCTAGAGTTATAAGTGCATAATTTCCAAGAGCGTGTCGAACTAGTACAAAGTAGCTGTTCAGTAACTCTCTAGTTTCTAATGGTTTTCTTACTTGAAATCACTCAAATATTTGTAAAGCAACACTAGAAAACCAGACTAGCATACTGTAAGTAAAGTCTATGTGAATGCAGTCATAATTAATGCATTCAATTGTCTTAATACATATGGCCAATTACATGAGACATGAGGGGGGCGGGGCGGACTAAGTTAAGGAGTATAATGTGGACACTCAATAGGTTTGAAAGATCACAAGGAGAGGATACGCCCTTGAGAACAATTTTTCAGCTACTTCGCCGACTTTAGTCTCTCCACTTATTGATTTTTAGCGCCTCTGAGACGCCAGCCATCAGGCAG